ATTCAGTGCTTATGATGTTACTTTATAGTTAGTTCAAGGGAAGCGTCTTGGTCACATATCAAAAATTTTTTCTTTTCTGATTTTTAGTATCATTTTACAGTTCTAGAAATTGCGAAAGAAACGATATCAAATCCATGTTTGTACGTTCATTTGTTCGTTCACGAAAGTCGTCGAATCGCACGTAGAACCTATGCCCTCAGTGATCGCAAATTACAGTTTTTTTGCTCTCCTGAACACTTGGAATTTTCATCCTAAAAGTCAATCTCCACCTATGATTTTTAGGCTACATCATTGAGAAATACAACGATCGATTCGTAAAGACCAGATCATCCGGTAACTTTTTCAAATTTCTTTTTGTTTGGAATTTATATATCGAAAAAAATGGGGGGCCAAAATTGAGAAAATCGGAAAAACACCATAAAAAATAACAAAAGAGAAAATGGAAAGAGTTGCCGGAGGATCTACACATATATATGGCCTTACCGAATCGACTGATATGTCTCTCGATGTTGTAGCAGGTTAATTGTGCAAAAAAATTGTTTTCGGGAAATTTAAACGAACAAAAATGTAATAGATATCAGTTTTAAAAATGCGTACAAAATTTCAAAATGATCCGTCCGTAATTTAAAAAGTTCGCTTACCCAGAGACTCCCCTAAATCCAGATATCTATTTTCGCTGGCAAATGGAATTCATTAGTAATTTAATTGGAAATCCCACATTCGAGTTTATATTTTTTTGGTTTCTTTTTTAAAGTTTTAATAAACTCAACTTAAATAATATGTCATTTATAATTTTATGAATATAACATCGCAACTGTAATTTGCACTTGGCGTGAAAATTTTCTTTTTGATGAGCAATTTAAATTAACGTTACTTTTTTTAAGATAAAAATTTCGAGTTCTATAAATAAACTGGCATCGATGCAGGGCATCGCCTCATCAGGAATATCCGATGCCCATAGGCTACCAGGCGTTACATGATGCCCATAAGCTACCAGGCGTCACATGATGCCCATAGGCTACCAGGCGTCACATGATGCCCATAGGCTACCAGGCGTCACATGATGCCCATAGGCTACCAGGCGTCACATGATGCCCATA